TAGGGTCTTCACATATTTCCAAATTTTCTGGTTCTATACCACCTGTACTACAATAGACACTTCCTTCCTTAAGGCCCTTTTAAGTAATTACAGGACAGTTCTTCAGTTTGGCTTACATATTTATTCAAGTGCAATCTTCTAAGTGCCAAGTCTTTACCAAAAGATTTCTGTGGAACAGGCTCCACAAAGGCTGGCTCTCTGCTTACTTGCTAATGAGAGGGGTGTGGCAGCCCTCTGTCCCTTAACATGAGCACTCTGCATCTGTCTTCTTTTAGACAGTTCTGTCTCGTTTGTCACGGCCCAAGTTTGCAAGTGGTAGGCATGCAATAGACCTGGAGTAAATGGACGGACGGACGGACGGACGGATGGATGGAGGGAGGGAGGGAGGGAGAGAGGGAGGGAAGATGGAGAGAAGGAGGCAGGGACAGAGAAAGGGAAACTACCTCCTTGTAACTTCTAACTCTGTTCTCCAAAACTTATTGAAGGCAAATGAGTATGACTTCTTCCCTTAATGGGATATGTCTGATACGTCCCAGGCTTCCAACCGTAAGTACAAACCCATTACATTTATAGTAATCCCAAACCTTGACGAATTCAACACATCTTCACTATGTCCAGCTTTTTAGAAAACATTCTCCACTAGGAATTTCTGCGACCCATCAGGGGTGCTCACCATTACAAGTGGCGTGTACTCAAGCCCCGCTAGCTTGTGAGTCCCATGTAAGGTCATTTTCTACTTCAAAGTCATGGTGAAACAGGGGTTCAGAGAAGCAGAGCCACAGCCTCAGGCTACATCACACTGCTGCTCCGATGCTCTGAGCCAATCATTCAACCACCAAAACTCCAACCTTTGTCAGACTGCTGATCTCCTTCTGCCCAAGACCAGCTCCCTCCAAGGTTCCCATGGAGCCATGCTGGGCCCCAATGGACAGTTCCTTCCTTTCATTCCCAAAAGACAAGGCTTTCAAGAGGATGGTGGAGGGAGGGCCAGAGTGCACGGTGAAGGGGGAGCAATGGGGAGGCATGCCTCACATTTTCAACTGCCACCTGAGATCCCTCCAACCTCCAGTCCTCATCATCCAGTCGGAGCCACTTGGCCACGTCTCCCCCTACTCAGGTGTTATTCTCAGGAACCTGTTTGTCTCTCATCTAGCAAGGATTGCTTTCAGAGCTCCTAGGCTATCAGACGGTCCCGAACATGTCTGAACCATATATGAGAACAGAGCTCATTTGGCTTCTTTCCCACAAGGCTCCGAACCACACGCAAAACAAGAGGTACTAATGGACATCTGTTTTCGGTGTTCCTGAACATTCTGTGAAGGGCAATAATTCCACACACGTTGTAGGACACTTAGAGGGTGGCTTGCACAAGCACACAGAAGATCTGACTCCACACAGAATATCACAATTTCTGACCCAGTCAAAAAATACCCTGTCACAAATGCCTAAATGGGCACTGTATTAGTTAGGGAGAGCCAAACTGCTAAGTCAAGACTCGCCAATAATTCTGTGACTTAAAGAAACACCCAAGTTTGTCTCTGTGGATCAGTTCCACAATATACTTTTCAAGTAGGCATGAGGCTCAGCTTCATAGGGCATTCAGGAATCCAGTCTGATGGTGCTCTGCTATCCTCAATGGACAGCTTCTGAGATCATTCTAGTCCTCAACCATTCATCAGTAGGGGGGAAAGGTGTGACGGACTGGGTATGCAGTGTTTCAGAAGTCAGCCCCTTACGATCCGATGGTGAGAACCTGATCACATGGCCACAGCTAGCTGCAAAGGAGACTGGGAAGAGCAGTCCCTGGCAAAGCAGCCACACACCAGCTACAACGCTTACTCTAGAACAAGGGACAGCAAATTATAGCCCAACGGTCAAATCCTTGAGTCCCCTGGCTTTATAAACAGAGTTTAACTGAAGCACAGCCAAACATATCCATTCATTTACATACTGTCTATGGCTGCTTTCCAGTTACAAAGGCAGAGTCGAGCAGTTATGGCAAAGACCTTATGGCATGCAAAGTCTAAAGTATTTACTATTTGGCCCTTTATAGATAGTATTTGCTATTCCCTTCTTTAGGAAAAAAAAAAAGGAGCATGCATACTATGGGACAACTAGCAGTCTACACTTTCAAAATTTATCTCGACAACTGTTAGAAAGACACATAGACAAAAAAATATTCTGTCAAGCAGTTTTGTCATACCAAAAGACTAAAAACAACTTTAAAAGGACTGGGAAATTATGGGCCGTGCATACCACACAATACAATGCAACCTTTAAAAAGAATGAGGAAGTTCAACATGTACTGATTAGAAAATATCCAAGTGTATTAACTTTAAAAAGTAAAATGCAGAAAAATGTTTAGACTGGTGCCACTTGTGGGGAGGAAAAAAACCAGAACTTAATATATAATACCTACATGCATACATGGGCATAAAAATTCCTGAAAGAATACAAAAGAAACTGAAAATGAGCTGTTTCTGGATAGAGAAATCAGAAGATTGAAGCACAGAGGACTTTTTACTATACACTTTTATATATTTTGAATTTGTACAATGTGCATGTACCACCTATTTTTTAAATAAAAATTAAACTGAGAAAACCACATACACAAAACACGTTTTTACTTCCATTGCAAACCAACCCCTCTTCTGAAAGATATAGTCTTGCTTAAAAGTCTATCTCCAATCAGATAGTCAGTTCTACTGACCTAGGAGCCATTTTCTATGGTGCTTCCCTGCTCCATCCCATGTCAGATTCTCAGAGATGCTTTATTTCTCTGATTTTCATAGTCAACTTACAAATTCTACAAATTCTTACAAATTCCCCTGTTCTTGAAAGTTCCTCTTTCCAAACAGACAGGATTTATCAGTATTTTATTTAGTTCTCTCTCACATGTTGAGTGTAAAGAAAAGCTAATCTGACCTCAGAGAAACATTAAGCATAGAAAGACAAAAATACAGTTCCTGACAGTTTTCAAGAAAAGTCTTGAAAAGGAACTCACGTTTCAGTTACAACTAATGGCCATCCAACTCACACAAGCTGAAGAGAAAAAGGAATCCACTAGTTTATGTAACTGGGAAGTTCAAAAGTTGTGGCCGACTTGAAGCACAGAAAGATCCAGGTGCTCCAAAATGCCCTCAGGGCTCCTGCTCTGCTCTCAGCTCTGCTGGGCTGCATTCTGCAGTTGGGCCCTTCGGAGGCAGTCAGGATGCCCTAAGCTCCCAGGCCCCTAGTTTACCACTCCTTAGGGAGAGATTTTTTTCTCTCTCTGGACATCAATACAGCAAATCCAGAGAACACTGTGACAGGTCATTAGACTTGTCCAGAGTGGGCTCCAAGCCTGGCCCAGCTTAAGCTATATACCTGCATTTACAGGCCACAAGGACTACATGAAATGTACAAAGATGAATTTCCCAAAGGGAGCTGCAGAAGTGAGGAGTGGTAAGTAGAAAAGACAACAAATGTTCTCTATTCCTTCTAACAACTCAAAATTTTGACCACTGGACATTTTAACAGGCTTAAAACTATAAGCCTTGCTCCCCACACTGGCTAGAAGGGGTTTTCAATTTCAAGACAAAGGTGGCTGGGAAGTTTAAACTTACACACACACATTGTCTGATTGGTCTGTACTAGACACAACTATGAATACCAGATTGGAAACCTGCTCATAAATTGGCAAACAAAACAAAACAAAACCCTCCAAAAATGCAATTTGTAAATCTGATTACAATCTTTGGTCCCTCTGAAATTCTCTGCTCAAGACAAAGTAGTTCCATCATTTTAGCCACATGCTTTTTAAGTGACTATCGAAAAGTCAAACAAAGATATGGAAGTGCGAGGTCTATAATTGATTTTAAATTATAAAATAACTTAAGAGGTTGTGTTTGCATTCCTCTTACCAAAGGTTCATTCACTTTCTCCCAGAATCCTCCTGGTCAGCTGTACCAAACGGATACATGACATTTCCTCTGACTGATTCGTGACAACTGAGCTGTCCCTCCACAGCACAAGGCAGAAGATCTACATTAAATGAAAGTTTCTCAATAAGCAGCAAACTCGTCTAAGACCAAAAACCTAGACATCCTTGCTTTAAGAAATCGCTCATTGTTATAGTAGAACCATAAAGACACGCATGCAAGTTGGTGCTACATGCCATGCCACTTTAATGCCAAACATCTTTTATGTGGAATTATACGATGAAAGCCAAATTTCCAAAACATCTTCAAGAAGGGAGATTGATGCATGTATTTTAAAGCAATGGTCCCCATCTACAAGTGAGACACTCTTGGTTATCTCAGATCATCAACACAAAATCTTCAAAACAAAATTACTTTTAAATCAATTTTATTTAAAAACATGTATAAATAGGCCAAGTAACACTCAAGCCTGAGAGGGCTGCAGTCTTTTCTGAAGAACATCGTAGTCCAAAAAGACTAATACTTATTGCTGATTCAGCTCACAGTATCAGCCCTCTTCAAGCAGCAGCACAATCACCAGCAAACATTTTATGGGCACCTGCTAGGGGCATTAGAGGTTCATAGAGCAATGAGCCACCGCCCTGCCCTCAAGGAGCTCCTCAAGGGCAATGGGAGAGAAACGAAACATCCAAAACAGACACGAAATACACGCATCTATATCATAACAGAAGGAATGACTGGCATGAGTCGTCACATGTTTTACCAAATGAGCATTGGAATTTCTTAGCAAATAGACATCGCATCAAGTTTCAATCTGACATATCAAAAAAATTATTATTTTTAAAAGTTTTTTTAATGTTTATTTATTTTTGAGAGAGAGAGAGAAAGAGAGAGAGAGAAAAAGCATGAGTGGGGGAGGGGAGGCAGAGAGAGAGAGAGAGAGAGGGAGACACAGAATCCAAAGCAGGCTCCAGGGTCTGAGCTGTCAGCACAGAGCCCGACGCGGGGCTCAAACTCACGAACCATGAGATCACGACTTAAGCCAAAGTCGGAAGCTTAACCAACTGAGCCACCCAGGCGCCCCATAAAAAAATTATTTTTATTCATTTTTTTGTTCATTCATGTTTCAACTCAACTGAATTAAAAGAAGAAAATATAATTCCAAGCCAAATGTACCATAGTGTTTGCTGTCCCAAATGAAGAGATGGACTGTTCATGTCCTAGAATTTCTCCATAGTTTACATCCAGATGTCCCTTTCAGTAGTTCTGACTGCCAAACCGATGTACAAACTCAGACAGGGAGTAGACAGCTCCCCATCCTACCTCAGGATCCATGCTGATAAAATCATTCAGGTTCATTTTGGAATCTAAAAAATACATGAAAGAAATGTTCACTGAAAACACAATTGGTTTATTGGCTTAACAGCAATACAACAACCCAGAGACCAAAAGAAGGGAAAATTATCCAGATGGAAGGGTTCAACATCACTTCTGTGGTATTCTTGTGTCAAATGCATAACCTCAATCTAATTATGACAAAACATCACAGAAACCCAAAGTGAGGGACAGTCTACAAATAACTGACTCTTCAAAAGTGTAAAAGTTGTAAAAGGAAAGAAAACAAAACAAAACAAAACAAAGAAATTGCCAGGGATTGAAGGGGACTGAGGAGACGGGACAACTAAATGTAATATCCTGGGTTATGTTCAAAAGGCTGGAGAAAAACAGGAGCATAATGAAGACAGAGAGAAATGAAAGGTATTAAATCAGTCCAAAATGGAATGTCTAGACATAAAAAAATAAAATATGTAAAATGAAAAGAATGTGCTGGATGAAGTTAACAACAAAGTAGTTAATGCAGAAGATAAGAGCAGGATGCCTGGATGGCTCAGTCGGTTAAGCATCTGACTCTCGGTTTTGGCTTGGGTCACGATCTCATGGTTTCGTGAGTTCAAGCCCTGTATCAGGCTGTGTGTTGATGATGCGGAGCCTGTTTGGGATTCTCTCTCCCTCTCCCTCTGCCCCTCTCCCACCCATGCTGTCTCTCTCTAAATAAACAAACTTAAAATTTTTTTTAAAAAAAGAACAATGAATTTGCAACAAAATAAAAGAATTATTCAAAATGAAGCACATACATAAAATGTATGAAAAAAAAAACCAGACCTACTGACCTCTGAGAATAATACCAAGCCATCTAACCAATGTGTAGCTGAAGGACACGAACTTAAAAGGAGGTCAGAAAAAATGTGAGGAAATAATGGCCAAATGTTCTCAAATTTGATGAAAACTATAAATCCATCAATCTAAAGATCTTAAAAAAAAAAACAAAAAACTCAAGTGGAATAAGCCTAAAGGAGACTACACTAGTCCATCATAATCAAATTGCTAAAAACCAGTGATAAAGAGAAAAACCTTAAAAAATATTCAGAGAAAAAAAGACACACTACATTCAGAGTAATGAATAAGAGATCAGAGCCTGTGCATGCAGAAAACAAGAGAGACGTCTTAAAAGAACTGAAAGAAGAAAAACATGTAAATCTAGTATATGTTACCCAACACTGTATCTTTAAAAATGAAAGCAAGCACTTAGGATATAGAAAACTAGAAACAGATTCACTAACACCCTTATAATAAAAAAGCTAAATAAACAACTTTTGTTGAAGTCCTCAGACAGCTAGGAACGCAACCGGAAATAAAGGTAAGACAGGCATCTGTCAGGTGAGATGGGGCAGAAGTTCTTGCTGACCTGGGTAGGTGTCAAACTCCATTAGAGCCCAGTAAGTCTGCGAACTTTTTTAACAAACTACTTTTAAAAAAAAATCTGTATTTGTTTTCTAAGAGTTTTTCTCCTCCCTCCCTTTTTTGTTTTGTTTTCTAAGACTTTTTAATGTCATCAGAGAAAAAATGACTACTATCTGCAACCATTCATTATGTACAAGATCAATGTATAAAAACAAAATTAAAAAAAATTTTTTTTTAATTTTTTTAACGTTTATTTATTTTTGAGACAGAGAGAGACAGAGCTTGAACGGGGGAGGGTCAGAGAGAGGGAGACACAGAATCTGAAACAGGCTCCAGGCTCTGAGCTGTCAGCACAGCCCGACACGGGGCTCGAACTCACGGACCTGAGCCGAAGTCAGCCGCTTAACCGACTGAGCCACCCAGGCACCCCCAAAATAAAAATTTTTTAAAGATCAAGGCAAAACAAATAAACATCTGCCTCTAATCTCCCCACGAGGCACTACAACATTTCTGTTTGTTTACTTAACACCGGTCCTCCAGCTTGGCTCAAAGTGGCCAGTGTTACCATACATTTGGAAGCGGGAAGATGAGAAGTGTATGTGGACCAGAGGCAGGAAAGGACTTAGAAAGAGAGGAGGAAATTTGGTGTACTCTATAGTTCAGCCTAAGAAAATGTCTTTTAAAACTGAGACATCAGTGGCTAGTGCTGGCACTGACTCTTCAGGGCAAGGCTATATGACCGTGAATTTCAGTTTCCTTCTCATCAGAAAAAAAAAAAAAAAAGAGATCTTTTCTTTAAAACACATTAAACACGGAGTTGAAAATAGCGGTCTTGGGGTGTGTGGGTGGCTCAGTCAGTTAACCATTCAACTCTTGATTTCAGCTCAGGTCATCTCAGAGTTCCTGGGTTCGAGCCCTGCACTCTGCACTGACAGTGCAAAGCCTACTTGGGATTTTCTCTCTCCTCCTTTCTCTGCCCCTTCCCCCATGTACTCTGTCTCAAAATAAATAAACTTAAAAAAAAAAAAGATGGAGCATCTGGTGGTTCAGTTGGTTAAGCATCCAACTTCGGCTCAGGTCATGATCCCATGGCTCGTGAGTTCGAGCCCCACATTGGGCTGGGTTCTGTGCTGACAGTTCAGAGCCTGGAGCCTGCTTTGGATTCTGTGTCTCCCTCTCTCTCTGCCCCCCGCCCCCCCCCCCCGCTCACGCTCTCTCTCTCTCTCTCAAAAATAAACAAACATTAAAAAAAATTTTTTTTTAAAGAAAACAGCAATCTTGCAGACACATGGCCACCGAAATTATTAAACATATTATCCCAATATTCTACATATCAAATGTACTAAACTTTAAGTCATAAGAGTTAATTCCACAACTAAACTCAGGGTTCTGAGTGAAGCTGATATATATTAAAGTACCTAAAACATGCATTAAAATTTGGCACTTTCTTTAAAAAAAAATTTTTTTAACGTTAATTTTTTTTCTGAGAGAGAGAGAGAGAGAGAGAGCACACATGAGAGAGGGAGACACAGAATCTGAAGTGGGCTCCAGGCTCTGAGCTGTCACCAGAGCCCAATGTGGGGCTCGAACCCACAAACCGAGAGATCATGACCTGAGCCGCAGTCAGATGCTTAACTGAGCCACATAAACACTCCAAAGTTGGATATTTTCTTGAAACATTTTTTATCCTGATTTTTTATAAAACACTACCAATTAGCTACACATAAATCTCACTTATCCTAACTTCAAATACATTCCTTTGATAAACACAGGATTTGAAGTAATTAATTTACCACCTGACAGAACCTCCCGGTGTGGTTAAATTATGACATGAAGAACCCGTCAGTTTACCCCACACTTCAGAGCAGATTCTTTTGTTTCCACCTCAAGTTCAGGAGGTCCCTGATGAACTAACTACACACAAGGCAGAAAGAGACACCACCATCCCCCTCCTCATCCTCCCCAGCTGTGCATCGGAGGCAAAGGGCTCACTTAACCTTAATGCACTTAAATGCATGCATCTATCAAGTGAGGAAATTAAAGTTGGCCTGCGTTGTGGTAAAAACTAAGCTAATACGTAAAGCGGCCAGCACAAAATAGCATCTACTGGGCAGCAGTCATCGAAACCAAAAGGAATGACCGGAAGAGGCTCAGGCTGGCGGGATGGTGTTTACTGAGTGCCTGCCTTGGGCTGGCTCTGCATCGGTGCTCACGTCTAGAAGAGAAACGGGGGGTGGCTGAAGGCCCACTGTCCCAGACCACAGCCTATATGACAGGCTGTCCGAGACTAGAAGGAAGACCTGTGATGCCCTCTCCCAACCCAGGAGCGATCCCCATTTCTGACGCCCAGACTAGGAAGCAGGCTGGCGGACCGAAAAGCAGCTCTGAGATAAATTTTTAAAATCCTAACAGCCTTTCACAGAGGGCCTCAAACATCAGTCGAATCCTCTTTTGGTGTTCAGATACACCAACTATATTTACTTTCTTCCTTGCTGAGCTCCGAATGCTACTGCCCTATTTTTCTGGCACGCTGCACAGCTGACAGAGCATTTCACACAGAAGGCTCATCCACGGGATGGGATGGCCTCCGCAAGAAATGGCGACAGTGCGAATTACTTACAATGTTTCAAGCTCGTGCCAACGCCAAACGGGAACAGGGTGAAGAACTCTTTATCTCCTTAAATCTCAGAAAATTATTAACTGGACTGATGCCTAAAAGCACATAAAGGAGATGAGTGGTACAAGAAAATCTGCTGGCTCTCCCTTCCTTCTACTGCAGGTCTTATCAGAGAGCCAGGGAAATGACATCTCACATATCGCAAGGATGCCCTAGGGGCTGCTGTCACCTTAACAGAAAACCCCACCAAGGCAAGGTGCTACTAGCTCCAGTGTTGAAGGACAAGCCCACAGACCTCCTGAAGCCCAGCGTCCTGGCAGCAGACCAACCAGCACCCTGGCGGTGTGCAAGTATCATGGTTCTGCTCTGCACACCTCCCCTCTGCCGTGAGGTCTTGTGCCTTCCAGTCCCGTTCTCTGGGCTTCGATTCCTGAATCTAACAGATACGCACATCTATGCTCCCTCTCATCTTCTTACGACTCAGGGAGTTTCATACAAATACCAACACACAATTTTTGTCCTTGGTTAAGGGGCGATGCTGATGTGCATGGTGACCGGAAACCTCTCTGAGGAGGCACCTTTGGCTCACCTCCAGTTTCGATGCAGGGATATGATGGAGGAGGTTCTCTCCAGTTCCCACTGGAATCTTTCATGTGAGATCGGTCAGAAGCAAAGTTCTTCAAATATGAATCTGCACGGATCACTCGAAATTTCCTGCAAATAAAGCAACATTCATTTACATTAGCAAGGTTTCCCAGTGAAATTCTAACTCAATTTTTTTTTATTTTTTTTATTTTTTTTAATTTTCAATGTTTATTTATTTTTGAGACAGAGAGAGTCAGAGCATGAACGGGGGAGGGGCAGAGAGAGAGGGAGACACAGAATTGGAAGCAGGCTCCAGGCTCTGAGCCATCAGCCCAGAGCCCAACTCGGGGCTCGAACTCATGGACCGTGAGATCGTGAGATCCCGCGAGATCGCGACCTGAGCTGAAGTCGGACGCTTAACTGACTGAGCCACCCAGGCGCCCCTCTAACTCAATTTTTATACAGACTCATTTTCAATGACATACACGAAAGTACCCAGGCATTTTTGTACTACCAGTAATACACAAATATAGATGCAGCTTTACAACCTGTTAAAGAAGCCACAAGAAAGGATCAGCTGAAATAAAAAAACTACACAGGCACAGAAATACATCCAGTTGTCTTTATTTACTCAATTGTATGCCAGGGACAAAGGGCATAACCTTTACGCACCATCATCACAGACCTCTCAATTATGTCATCATTAAGGCCACACCCCACACACCCACACATACCCACAAACACACACACAGGAGAGAAATCCCCAAACTGGCTTTCACAAGACACCTGGGATCTCATCACACACATTTTCAAAAGATGTCAACCTTTATATGTTGGACAACCTTTAAAACTTCAAAACACTTTGAATCTTCTGTGTAGCACATCATTTTCAAGTATCAACTCAATAGTGATGCCAAAACAAGTGATCTTTGCAAAACAAATGCCAAAAAAAACCCCACAAAATCTCACACACACACTCCATACAACTGTCAAGGTTTAACTTCAGAAAATAGGTAAATCCATCCTAAATCTCCTCACCTTCTAAACTGTGGATGGATGTCCTCATCAGACTTAAATGCATCTTCCACGTAAGTGTCAAAAGGACAGGGAAATGGCAGGACAGTGTCAAGATCATAAATGAAGCTCTGTCCACCACTTGAGACATGAAGCAGGACAACATGGTAATCCTAGAAATAAAAGTTGCTGAAGTTAACCAAGTTACTTCACCATCGTGAATACAGTGTTATAGGTTACAGTAATGATGGACTTTATGTTTTATATGTAATATATTTATATATATTTTATATATACCATTTAATGGTTTCATATATATACATATATTTTTACATATATATACATATATATAAAACCATTAAAATGGTACATATAAAATATATATATAAGATATATTATATACAAATATATATAAAACATAAAATGCATTATATATATGTATATATATATATAAAACCATTAAAAATGAATACAAAACTAACACAGTTCTTCTTATAATAGCAAAATAAAGCAAATGCTAATCCCTAAAAAAAGACTAAACATCCGGTGATAGGGAACACTTAAATAAGTACTGAAAATGTTCATATATATTAAATGTATACCCTTTGACCTGGCAAGTTTACCTCTAGGAATCCATCCAACAGATAAAATGGCCATATGCATGTAAAGGTATATATGCAAAGAAAATCTCTGCAGCACTGTTTATAATAGTGAAAATTCAGAAACAGAGAGAAATAAACCACAACGCAGCTACTAAAAAGATTCAGGTAAATTTATGTAGAAAATGGAAAAAAAGTGGGGGCGCCTGGGTGGCTCAGTTAGTTGAGTGTCCGACTTCAGCTTGGGTCATGATCTCACAGTTTGTGAGTTCAAGCCCCATGTCAGGCTCTGTGCTGACAGCTCAGAGCCTGGAGCCTGCTTTGGATTCTGTGTCTCCTTCTCTCTTTGCCCCTCCCCCACTCATGCTCTCTTGTCTCTCAAAAATAAAATAAAAATAATTTTGAAAAAGATGGGGGGCACCTGGGTGGCTCAGTCGGTTGAGCGTCCGGCTTTGGCTCAGGTCATGATCTCGCGATCCGTGAGTTCGAGCCCCACGTCGGGCGCTGTGCTGACAGCTCAGAGCCTGGAGCCTGTTTCAGATTCTATGTATCCCTCTCTCTCTGACCCTCCCCCATTCATGCTCTGTCTCTCTCTATCTCAAAAATAAATAAACGTTTGGGTGCCTGGGTGGCTCAGTCGGTTGAGCGTCCGACTTCAGCTCAGGTCACGATCTCGCGGTCCGGGAGTTCAAGCCCCGTGTCGGGCTCTGGGCTGATGGCTCAGAGCCTGGAGCCTGTTTCCGATTCTGTGTCTCCCTCTCTCTCTGCCCCTCCCCCATTCATGCTCTGTCTCTCTCTGTCTCAAAAATAAATAAACGTTAAAAAAAAAATTAAAAATAAATAAACAAATAAATAAATAAACGTTAAAAAAATAAAAAGAAAACGGAAAAAAGGGTATGTTACATAGTTGGATAGGAAAAATAAACTGCAAATATGTACTACATGTTATTTTTTAAAAGCTATGTGTATACAAAAATAAATTCAAAATGGATGAAAGACCTAAATTTAAGACAGGAAACCGTCAAAATCCTAGAGGAGAAAAAAACAGGCAACAACCTCTTTGACCTCAGATGAGCAAGGTTCTTCTTATTAGACATGTCTCTAGGGGCAAGGCAGACAAAAGCAAAAATGAACTATTGGGGACCTCATCAAAATAAAAAGCTTCTGCACAGTGAAGGAAACAATCAATAAAACTAAAAGGCAACCAGTGGAATGGGAGAAGATATTTGTAAATGACATATCGGATCAAGGGTTAGTATCCAAAATCTATAAAGAACTTATCCAGCTCACCACCCAAAAAACAAATAATCCACTGAAGAAATGGGCAAAAGACATGAATAGACACTTTTCCAAAGAACACATCCAGATGGCTAACAGATACATGAAAGAATGCAGATGCTCAACATCACTCACCATCAGGCAGACATCAAAACCATAATGAGATACCACCTCACACCTGTCAGAATGGCTAAAATTAACAACTCAGGAAACAGCGGATGTTGGCGAGGATGCAGAGAAAGGGGAACCCTTTTGCACTGCTGGTGGCAATCCAAACTGGTACAGCCACTCTGGAAAACAGTATGGATGTTCCTCAAAATATTAAAAATAGGGTTACTCTATGACCCAGCAATTGTACTACTAGGAATTTACCCAAAGGATATAGAAAATGCTGATTTGAAGAGGCACATGTACTCCCATGTTTATAGCAGCACTATCAACAACAGCCAAAGTATGGAAAGAACCCAAATGTCCATCGACTGAGGAATGCATAAAGAAGATATGGTATACATATACAATGGAGTATTACTTGGTGATCAAAAAGAACGAAATCTTGCCATCTGCAACAATGTAGACAGAACTAGAGGGTATTATGCTAAGGGAAATAAGTTAGAGAAAGATAAATACATGATCTCATTCTTATGTAGAACTTAAGAAACAAAACAGATGAACATAGGAGAAGGGAAAGAAAAATAAGATAAAAACAGAGAGGGAGGCAAACCATAAGAGACTCTTAAGTACAGAGAACAGGGTTTCTGGAAGGGAGGTTGGTGGGGGGATGGGCATTAAGGAGGACACTTGGGATGAGCAGTGGGTGTTACATGTAAGAGATGAATCACTAAATTCTACTCCTGAAATCATTATTATACTATATGTTAACTTGGATTTTAGTAAAATAAAAAGTTCTGTGTATATATACACATGTACATTCTGAAGTACACATGCATGTATACGCATTGAGGAAAAAGTATGCAAGGATATCCTCCAAACTTAACAAAGGGGATGGCTTGGGCTAGCCTAGAATGGGAAAGAAGGACTATACGATGTTGTTAAATCAGCCAAGCCCTAATCTGTAACCATTTAGGGGAAAGATGAAGACAGCTTCTCCTTTGTGGCCTCACTCCCAGACGGTGGGCACTGTCCAACACCAGTTAATGGCTAGAAGGGATGTCAGGGAAGTTATTGAGGGGCAGGAGGGCAGTCTGATGCTCTGAGTCCCTTGAAAGGAAAGCGCTCTCACAGAGAACAGCACTGGGAGATAAAAAGCTCAATCACATTAGTACCACATAAGTAACACCACCTTATATTTCTAGTACTTCGGAGCTTAAAGAGCACTTTCTCAAACGTTGTTTTATCGACCCTATGGAGGGGAGGGGGGTATTAATTAAGACTGGAGATGCTGTGCCATCAAAGCCTAAGAGCTTCCTTTGGCTCCAATGCTATCTTCATAAAGCAGAAATAGCATCAGAAATGGACGCTTCTGCCCTGCACTCCCCTTAATGTATCCTGCCCTCCAGAGAAATAAAGTAGGAGCAACCCACCTTCCAGCCCACACCTGGCTGTGTATGTGTTATTCCCATCCTTCTGCAGCAACCTTTTCCACCTGTCTCCCCATATCCATCCCTCGAGTGCCCGCTCACATGCTCACTTCTCATGAGTCTCCTACTTCCTGCCAGAAGCAGTCTCTGGCCTTGTCCCAAATCTGTGTCTCTCTTGACATCTTCTACCTCATATTACAGGGGTTTTGAAGAGTACATACTCCCTTTTACTTGTAGTTAACAGTGCTACTGAAATATCAAAGATGCAAAGATGAGAAAGGTAAGTCCTGACCCCGAGGAGTCCCCGCAGCAGAGTGTGAAACAGCCAAGTGCTACCGGAGGGACAGTGTGATGATGGCAGACAGCAGGGAGCCTTGCAGGCGAAGACATTCTGGTCAAACTTTGGCCCCTCCCCTTCCTCTTTTATAAAATGGAGCTAAGTGCAATGTCCACCTCAGTGTTGCTGAGACAATTAAGGAGATTATGTAAGTAAAAACTTTTTAAAAGCTAACCAAGAGGGGGGCATCTGGGTGGCTCAGTCGGCTGAGCGTCTGACTCTTGGTTTTGGCTCAGGTCATGATCCCACGGTCATGGGACTGAGCCCCATGTCAGGCTCTATGCTGAGCATAGAGCCTGCTTAAGATTCTCTCTCTCTCTCCCTCTGCCCCCCTCCTCAGCTCTCTCTCAAATAAAAAAAAAAAAAAATTTATAAAAGCCAACCAAGAAACAGAGGGGAGGGGGGCCCAACAGCCAAGGAAGAGTTTCACTAAGGAAAGGCTGCCACTGTTGAGTCCTGCCTGAGGGGACAGTGTTCCAGCAACAAAGTACAGCTTGTGGAAACGTATAAGCAATGAATACCCACAATCTCTCACTTAGTTTGGGTCCACATTCCTACATCCCAGATGGCTGATGAACTTGAGAAGGAAAGTAGGCCTCAACTCCAAGTCGCCTTTATAAGCACAGACGTGGAGTCAAGGAATACAGATCAAGCGGGAGCAGCCTCACTCTCTGAGTTGGGTTCAGCGCTTGCCCAGATGCCCGGAAAACACCAAGCTGGGCTCGGGGAGGGAAACCCACATAGAAGGTGATCCGCTTCTTGGGACTGGGTGTCTCCACCCACTCAGGGCCGCCTACCCACTTCCTACAACAAGACAGCCTTGCGGCAAAGATACATCTGCCAGAGGATGGCGGGGGGGGGGGGGGGGCGCCACTTCTTGCAAGAGGAGTCCCCACCCTGGGCTGCCGTGAGATGCTGGGTTAGGGGGACATGACCAGAGGCCCTTTCTCTTCAAGTTTGTCTAAAAGGAGAAGACCGTGACTCAAAATCAGCTGAGTGGTTCAGCGATGGAGACGACCTCTAGGGCCGATGGACAGTGCACAACAGGGGTCCTGTAGCCATCGTTGCTAACGAGGGAAGCTAACACTTCTCGAGCACCAGAACCAGACACCATACCCCGTGCCAGCATAATGCTTCACACGCATTATCTCATTTAAAAGACTCACTACCCCACTAACCAGAGGAGGACGCTGCACAAGGAAGGCAAGTAACATGTCCAGCTCACACAGCCACCAGTGGCATTACTGGGAGTCAACTCCAGTTGGGCCTTAACTGGATTAACTGGGCCAAAACTGGATTTTGGCTTTAATGTTAGAGCAGCAAACCACCCGCTGGTGAAGGAGGCAAGAATGTGAGCTCTGTGAGGCCAGGGATTTTGGCCTATCTTGTGCCTGGCATATAACAGGCACTCAGTAAATACAAGTTAAATAAAGGAAAATGATGCCAGTTCGAACGATATCTTATTTTAAATAAGTATCAGAAACAAGCTTTTCTTTTATTTTATCTACATGTTACTAGCCCCATCAATTCTTCAGGGGATAGGTTAATGTAACACATAGATGTGTACTATAAAGGGCCTGGGCCTAAGACCTAGTCCTGCCACTTGATCAGCTAGATAACCTTGAGCTTCTCACTTTGGCCTCTGGGCTCATTTCTTCACCTGAAAAATGAAACGGTTGGAGTAGATCTGGGTTTTTCAAATGCTAGTCATACATAGTCACTCAGGAGTCTGCTAAGAACACTAACTCCTGAACCCTTCTCTATCTAGATCAACTAAATCAGAAACGTACATTTTTTAAAATTTTGTTTATTTATATTTGAGAGAGACAGAGCACGAGCAGGGGAGGGGCAGAGAGAGACAGAGACAGAATCTGAAGCAGGCTCCAGGATGACCTGTCAGCACAGAGCCCGATGTGGGGCTCGAACCCATGAGCCAAGAGATCATGACCTGAGCTGAAGTCGGACACTTAACCGACTGAGCCACCCAGGCGCCCCCAGAAACCTATGGTTTTAACACAATATGCAGATAATTCTAAAGTGCAGCTGAACCAAATACTGCTAAAGTTCCTTCCAGTATAATGAGTAAGAGTCTAGGAGACCACAAATATATCTGCCTATAGGGGCACCTGGGTGGCTCAGTTGATTAAGCATCTGGCTCTGGATTTCAGCTGAGGTCATGATCACATGATTTATAAGTTCAAGCGATACATAGAGCTCCTGCTGAAATTGTGGAGCCTGCCTGGGATTCTGTCTTTCCCCCTCTCTTTGCCCCTTCCTACCTCCCTTCCTCTCCCTCTCTCTCTCTCTCAAAATAAATAAATAAACTTAAAAAAATACATAAATAAAATCTTTCCTATAATAATAAAATTAAATGAAAACATGTCTGTAAGTACTACCTTAGACAAAATAACATCTATTCCCAAAAGGTCAATTATTAATAATTATCAGAGCCAGTCTCTACCGCCCTGTCACTTCTGCTTTACCAAACCACTCAGGGATTACAAGTACTAATGCACCAGAGGCTTCTGTATTGACCCTCTTACCCAGATCACAGGTCCATCTCCAGGTCTTGCTTGCTGTTTCCAGATAGGTATCTATAAAATACAATCAATTTCATAAGCCACAACTGTAGTTAAACCACTACTGAATTCTTTAAAGCAATACATAAATTAAAAATATTTCCAAGCAACCAACAATCAAGGTAAAAGAATGAATGAAGAAGAAATCTAAATCCTTCCAAGTGTCTTTAACAATGAAAATGCAAAAAATTAATTATCTGATGTTCTTTGGAAAGCAGAAAGAGGCCTCAACTGGGAATCAGAAGGCTGGCAGATTCAAGTCTTGCTCTCCCCTCATTATTCATGGGACCTCCATGAGTCTCTATTTCCTCATCTATAAAATGGAGCCAACTATCTGAACCCTGCCTACTTCACCATGTTTCCATTAGCATCAAATGAAATGATGCTTACAGAAGTGCTTTATGGAGCTCCTGGCTGGCTCAAATGGTAGTACGTGTGACTCTTGATCTCGGGGTTGTGAGTTCGAGCCCCACACTGGGTACAGGGATTACTTAAAAAATCAGATCTTAAAAAAAAAAAAAAAAAAAAAACTTCACAAAATATTAAGGGCTTCCTTTATTTTTTTAAAGGCTTGCTTTTGTAATACCTCATGTAAGTTTACCATTAGTTTATTTAAACTCCAGAGACAAACCTGACAGTATGTGGCTCTAGTCTCAGCAATTTTAAAAGCTCTAACCTAATACCTAAAGGGATTTAATCTATGTAAATATACCATCATCTACTTCTTGACCTACAAATAAGTGATTAAACTTTTCTAATTCAACTGTGCTCTGAAAGGAAAAAATATCTCATTCAAAAATAAATGTTAGGGGCAGATGGGTGGCTGAGCTAGTTAAGGTTCCAACTCTTTATTTCAGCTCAGTCATGATCTCATGCTCATGAGATCAAAGCCTATGCTCAGCACAGAACCTGCTTAAGATTCTGTCTCCCTCTCCTGCTCCTCTCCCCAGCTAGCACTGTCTCTTTCTCCCTAAAAACAAACTTTAAAATGTTGCTGTATTTTATAGAGCAGATTTTAGGATGGTGCTAACCCCATACTATATTGACTTTCTATTGTCATTGTAAATCTCTTGTTCTCTTTCTGCAATCACTCACCAACTTACCATCTTCCTCTCATTAGATATGAAGACAGCATAGCACTCTTCTAAAGGATACTGGTCATGGTTTTTGATGTATTCACAAAGCTTCCAAATATTTTCTTCACTGAAACAAAATAATAGTTTGATCAATATAATTAAACAGTAACACTCCGTGTCATTCAAATTTGAACAGAAGACTAACGAGGACATAAAAGAGTCGGAAGAGATCTTAAACACGATTTCATCCAGCAAAGTGCTGATGTTTGAGCCGCCTCTGAAACACCCTCAACAAGGTGTTACCTGTGTGCTGACCTCTCTGCTAACACAGTGCTCATTACCTGCCCCAGCACTGCTCTGGACATGGAGGCATTTTACAACTGATAAAATGCTGCATCGATACTCCACAAGTTTTGGGTCCAGGGACTTGAGATACAAGTGGATTCCACTTATGGAATTTTCTGCCACTTATGAGGTAAGAAACTTTAGACATCTTCACCTGAGTATCTGCTTTTCTCATCTGTAAAATGGGGATAATCACATCACATTATAAACACTTGACAAATCTTAGTTAACACGGGTTCACTGCTCCCCTTAGGAATGGGGCAGGATGAGTGTTCTGGGTAGGTGGGCTTCCAGCTAGAAAAGACCAGGGGCAGGGGCGCCTGGGTGGCGCAGTCGGTTAAGCGACCGACTTCAGCCAGGTCACGATCTCGCGGTCCGGGAGTTCGAGCCCCGCGTCAGGCTCTGGACTGATGGCTCAGAGCCTGGAGCCTGTTTCCGAATCTGTGTCTCCCTCTCTATCTGCCCCTCCCCCGTTCATGCTCTGTCTCTCTCTGTCCCAAAAATAAATAAACGTTGAAAAAAAAAAGAAAAGACCAGGGGCAGCTATGTGATATGCTTAGGAATTCTTTCGGAGGGAGACTCTGTGAGTGGTATTCCCTGCGGCCCTCTGGTACAAGTCAGGCCCTGACTTTTACAAAGTTCTTTCCCATACTGTGCTGAACCCCATCTTCTTATACTTCTGCACCAGGTGAATCTCTTTTCTACGTGACAGGTCTTCAGATATTTAAAGCAGTAGTCAGAACCACCTAAGTAAATCAATGCCCAGTGCATGAAACCAAGCCATCCTGATGACCACAGGCACACACCCACACAGACAAAAACAGTCATTGTTGTCGGTATTCATAGCTTAGCCTCAGGATTGCTGTCTTTTCCTAATAAGACACACAGCACCTTTGTTCAAAATGAGCTACATCAGTACTCAGCTCATACTTGTGACTCAATCTGTCAAAGCCTGATTTCCAAACACCTACACCACGCTACCTGAAAATGAAGGCAGGCATGAATGGCACTGATGAATGCCACCATTTTATGGCAATACAAACTTTCAATTCACAGTTTTGACCTTGTCTACCTGTCTCAACGCTCCATACAACTACATGTAAAGTACTAAAGCTGAGTGTTTTTTCCCTATGATTTTGTTTTTCTCTAAAATACCTAAGAAATCTCACAGAAAAAGTAGTGATAGAGGTAAAAACAGGAGATTGCCACTCACTACTTCCAAAGGATATGTAGTATGGAATAACAAAAATGTACTGTTTCGATATGACATAAACCATGTATTAACTAAATTTTCTTAAACCTGGATGTTCTAAGACCAAGTTTTCAGAAGACATTTGTTTGTCCAGCCTGCAGAAATTCTGGAGTTGCTCACAAACACCTTCAAGAGCCTGTGATGTAAAAAGCACTGTGCTAAGTGCTTGGAGGATATAATGATAAATTAGAGCTCACAGACAGTGAGAGGAGACATACAGATCCATAAATAAGCAAGCATCATAGATGGCCATAAAAGATGCATAGAAGAGGGAGTCATTAATTTTGAGGCACACAGGAAGATTGGGGAGGTATAGGTCAGTGGTTTCTCCTTGTTTGTTCCCCCACTCCCAGTCCCAAGGATGGGCAAAGAATTAACACAAAGACTTCGAGAATCCATGTATACCCCAAGAACTGTTGGCAGTCTGAATACGTATACGGCTGGACATACTTTGTCTTTTATTTTTCAAATATGTGTAAATGTTACACGGAGGAAAAAAATTAAATGTTAAGAGTTATTGAACCTATAGTCCTTTTTTATCATCAATTTTTTTTTCAAAAGTACAATTAATATCATGTAGGAGGATCTCAAGAAACATCTGACGTTTAAAAAAGGAGGGCATTGGGGCGCCTGGGTGGGTCGGTCGGTTGAGTATCCGACTTCAGCTCAGGTCATGATCTCTCAGTTCGTGGGTTCAAGCTCCGCATCAGGCTCTGTGCTGACAGCTCAGAGCCTGGAGCCTGCTTCGGATTCTGTGTCTCCCTCTCTTTCTCTCTCTCTCTCTGCTCCTCCCCTGCTTGCACTCTCTCTCTCTTTCAAAAATAAACAGTAAAAAAAAATTTTTTTTAATTAAATAAATGAAAATTAAAAAGGAGGGCCTTGGGGCACCTGGGTGGCTCAGTCGGTTAAGCAGCCGACTTCGGCTCAGGTCATGATCTTGCGGTCCGTGAGTTCGAGCCCCGCGTCGGGCTCTGTGCTGACAGCTCAGAGCCTGGAGCCTGTTTCGGATTCTGTGTCTCCCTCTCTCTGACCCTCCCCCGTTCGTGCTCTGTCTCTCTCTGTCTCAAAAATAAATAAATGTTAAAAAAAAAAAAAGAGGGCCTTATACTTGGAAATGCTGGGAGTTGCTGTTGGAACAGGAAGAGCACAGACTGGGTGTGAGCCCTAGCATCCATTTAACTGGTTTTAAAAACGAGCAGAGGGGGGATGGTGATAATAATGTTCCAACCTACTGGATGATTATTTTGGTAGCAGAAAGTCTAACAGAGCAGCATTAAAATAAGATTCTGCAAGGGTTACCGGTGATGGGCTGAGATCAGAGAAGCAGGCAGAAGGAAAGGACCCCTGGGGCACAGCAGGCACTCAGCCAACATCTGAAGAATACAAAACAGGGGTGCCTGGGTGGCGTAGTCAGTTAAGCGTCCGACTTCAGCCAGGTCACGCGATCTCACGGTCCGTGAGTTCGAGCCCCACGTCAGGCTCTGGGCTGATGGCTCAGAGCCTGGAGCCTGTTTCCGATTCTGTGTCTCCCTCTCTCTCTGCCCCTCCCCTGTTCATGCTCTGTCTCTCTCTGTCCCAAAAATAAATAAACGTTGAAAAAAAAAATTTGAAGAATACAAAACAATCACAACAGAATCAGATGTGCTCTGTAAAGAACCTAGTGCCATACAAATATTGGTTACCACTATCAGCATTAAGCTGAGTCTTAACAGATAAGTAACAATTGACAGAAGCTAACTGAAGCAGAGAAGAGGCATTTATTTCAAGGTTTCACGGCAGAACCTACCTGAAAGGTTCTGACAGGGTAGAACACCACTTCTCAACCAGCGGCAGTTTTGCTCCCCAGGGAACATCTGGCACTATCTGGAGACATTTTTGGTTGTCACAAATTGCGGGAGGGTGCTACAGGCATTTAGTGGGCGGAGGCCAGGGATGCTGCTATACACTCTCCAATACACAGGACAGCCCCCTCACATTAGCAAGCTCAAAATGTCAACAAAGCCCTGGCTGAGAAACCCTGGGCTAGAGCCCAGTAGGCAGGTTCAAAATGGGTTTGGAGAAACACACGGTGACCAGATCTTAAAGGACATGCAATGCTCAGGAGACAAAATCGTCTATGCCTGTATTCCTCGAAATGGGATCAATGAACCAGCGTTAAGACTCCTCCACTGTAGAGTTCACACATCCAGACTCTCTAGAGTGGAGCCCTATGATGTGCATGCTTTACAAGCTCCTAGGCAATCTAGGGCTCATCTGAATTCAGAAAGGCTTTCAGCAGTGTGAAGCCCGCTAAGGTTCAGGACCTGAGGGGATAGGAGAGATCTGGGCAGAGGCCTGTAAGGAAGGACCTGAACAGGCCCCTGATAGCCAAGGAGGGCCCGGGGCCAATGGCTAAAGGAACTTAAAGGAGAAATCTACTGAAGAGAAGCCCACCCCCTACCATTCTTCCACCAGATGGCTCCACTCCAATTGTGCCAGACATCTTGTTCCTAGAATACTCCTGCACACTTTCTTCCCAGAGCCTTTGCACCAACTGCTCCCCCGCCTGCCATGATTGTCTTCCAAATGCACAAAGCCCCCACCCTTTTTTCCTTCAGATCTCTGCTCAAATACCTCTTTATCAACAATGCTTTCCTTAAATATCCATTATGAAATAGTGAATCACTGTCTCTTACCTAGCTTTATTTTTCTAGTAACACCACCACCCAAATATGGTTTACTTGGCTTTGCTTGCTTTCCCTGAACCAAAACAGAAGAACCATGAGATCTTACCAGGGAATTTGTCTACTCTGTTCATTGCTGTATTCCAAGGGCCTAAAATGGTGCATCACACGATCCAATTGCCTAAAAAACATTTACTGACTGAACACATAAAACAATGAGCGGGCATTAGGGACAAGAACAGGATTTAGGTGAAAGGTAAAACAGAAACAAAGTGCAGTAACTAAGAAGCATGGACTCCTGGGGGTTCCTGAGTGGCTCAGTTGGGTAAGTGTCTGACTTTAGCTCAGGTCATGAGATCACTGTTCGTGGGTTCGGGCCCTGCATTGGGTTCTGTGCTGACAGCTTCAAGCCTGCTTCAGATTCTCTGTCTCCCTCTCTCTCTGCCCCTACCCCGCTTGCATGTGCATTTTCTCAAAAATAAACATATATATATATAGAAGAAGCATGGACTCCTCTATTACAGAAGTTCCAGTTTCAGCACTGTCTCTTGCTCGATGTATGATCTTGGACACAGCCTCTCTGTGGCTCAGTCTTTTCATTAGTAAAATGAGGTAAATGATAAAACCTATCTCCTAGCCATGGAGGGAAACATTTAGCATTGGCCCTGACATGCAGTCAGAGCTGAACGAACGCTAAACTCTTGGTGATGGCGGTTTGATGACCAGCTAAAGGAGGGAAAGGTAATTTTAGATGGCCCTAAGGTTTCTTTTGCAGTGACTGGAAGTTGGGGAAGAAGTCATTACTCAGGGAAGGTAAGGATAGGTGTGGGAGTGGAAAAGACAAAGGTAGGAGTGGTGATTCAGCCACACAGGTGGCCTAGAATAGGGGTATAGTGTGTGGACTCCAGAGCCAAACCCTGCAGGTAAACCCCCATTCCTTCACTCACAAGATATGTGGCCTTAGGCAAATTAGTTGCGCCCCTCTGTGCCTGGGTGTTCTCATCTTTAAAATGGGGTAACAATAGTAGCTACCTCCTAGGATAATTGTGGGACTCAAATGAATTAGTTTACATAAACAAAACAATGTTTTGGCATGTAGCAAATGCTATGTAAATGTAACGGGTGTGATAACGACAACGTGGTGGTTAAGCTCATGGTTTCTGGTTACAAGAAGGTCTGAAATGGATTCCTGGATGCTATTAGCTAATGACCTTGGGAAAGTTATTGCAAAATCTCCGTTCTTTCACTCTCTTCCAAAATTAAAATGACTTTCCCATCAGTGTGAAACCACAAAGGCTTGAGCGGAGTAATTTGCAAAGATTCTCTACGCTCCACCCTCCGCCTCCACCTCCCCTTCCAGGCCCCCAAACCCTGAGATCTGCTGAGAAACGGCCAAGCGAAAAGCGCCGGCATTAGTAATGCACCACCGACCCTACCATTCCTGGGAATTCCGCCCACCCCACCCCCACCATCCAAAGTCTACACTCCATTCAAGAGACGAGGGCTGCCATTCCCTCTCCCTTCATCCCCCAAGCCAGAAAACCGGCCAGTCGAGGCCCAGAGCCCCCGGGGAGGAGCCGGGAGGAGGCGGGGCCTGGCTGCGACGCCAAGACCCAGAGAGCCAGGGAGACGCCGGGGGCTGCACCCGCGCCCCCTCACCAGTAGCAGCTGTTGTAGACACAGGCGTCCCGCGGGGGGCTGGCCGGCTGGTAGCAGGCGGCTGCAGCGGCGGGGACATCCCCCTCCATGGCAGGCTGGCTTCGGCCGGGGGACAGGCCAGAGGCGGACCCACTGGACCAGCCCCGTGTGCAGGATTCGGGGGAGGAGCCGGCGCACGCCAGACCGCGAGGGTTTTCGGGGCGGAGCCCGGGGCAGCTGGTGCCGTTCCCGGGTGGTGGAGCCAAGGTTGGGTAGGCGGAGTCTGGGCGGAGCGAGCGACGCAGGTTCCGGGCGCGCAGTGCTGAGGAGGGAGGTGCAAGTTCCGGGTGGATGGAGCCCGCGGCTACGCGGGCTTTGCAGATACCGGTAGGCGGAGCCCGGGCGGGAAACGCCGAGCTCTTCCGGGGGGGGTGGAGCTAGAGCGAAGTGGGAGGATCCCGGGGGCGGGGGGCTGGTGAAAGGCGTGGATATCCAGTGGGCGGATCCCGGGACTCGGAGGATTGTGTAATTCCGGGTAGGCGGGGCCAGAGCAGGTGGGTGGAGCAAGGGCGAGCGGCCTTGGGGGAGCTCGGGTCCATAGGGGCGGAGCCGGGCGAGCTCTGGGGGCCGGTAACCCTGAGGATCCGGTCAGCTGGGGAGGACAGAGGTCGGCTGCGGGTGTCTTGCTGGAGTCTGGGGAGGGCGTGGAGTTTGCAAATCGCCCTATCCTGAACTCGGCTTCAACAGTGCCCCGGAGGCGTGTGAAACTCTCTTCCAACCCAGGGTTGAGGTTGCCGGCTGTGGAGGAACCAGAGGAGATGCGGAAAAGCAAGTGAAATAAGAGAACCGTGTATGTGAAAAACAAACCTTTAGCAGTTTTATCCTAGAAGCCGCGAAAGCCCGGGGAAGGAGGGGGAGTTAATTCCAAATATGTCCGCATCGGGCGGTTTTAGAGAGGAATAGCACCCCCAAATCTCACCGTGTTGTAACATTTGATTATAATAGGAGAACTATGTGTATTGACTCAGAAGATATGTTGATCCCTTGATAGAGTTAAGTTTTTAAAAATTTAAAAAGAGTTCCTATGGCATTCATTTTGTGTTAATCATGTTTGCTGGCAATCTGGAAGGAAAGGCACCACATTATTAAAACAGTGTTTATGATGAGTTTATCACTTTATACTTAATAGCCTTCTGCATGGTCTTATATTTGTAATGAACATATGTAACTGATCAGGGTACTTCCCACTATGAAAACTGAAATTCTTAGTTGGTTTATAGGCCATGTGCAGTCAGGTTTTTCCAGTCTCATGAGTTCAAAAGCCCGTACATAAATCCTAAAGACTTTGAGCAAAAGTCCTTGGTAAGTTATCAATTTATTGCCTCTCTACTCTGAATACACCCTTCAATGTAGGCTCTATGATAAATAACAGAATTCCTTTAAGCATTTCTCCTTTAGGGGCGCCTGGGTGGCGCAGTCGGTTGAGCGTCCGACTCCAGCCAGGTCACGATCTCGCGGTCCGTGAGTTCGAGCCCCGCGTCGGGCTCTGGGCTGATGGCTCAGAGCCTGGAGCCTGTTTCCGAATCTGTGTCTCCCTCTCTCTCCGCCCCTCCCCCGTTCATGCTCTGTCTCTCTCTGTCCCAAAAATAAATAAACGTTCAAAAAATAAATAAATAAAATTAAAAAAAAGTGGGCACCAAGGTAAGCCTTCTCAGTAAAGTGTGCTGGAGGAAGAAGCTTTCTGCAGTTTCTGGGAGGGTAGAAGAGTTTGTGGAGTGTGGTCCTGAGAACATCCAGTGGAGTCTGCCCCGCCTTGGGCTCAGGCCTCTGTGACCTTACAGCTTTAGTTTGGCAATAACCTTCCTGCAGCCCTCTTGACACAGAAACCAGACCCCTCCCCTGTGAGGCCTGCAGGCAGCCACTTGCCCATACTTCTTAGAGAAGCCCTGTCCTATGTATGCACAGTTACCTGTGGCTGGTACGGTCGGTCACATGCTGAGCAATCAGTCCTTCACCAAGCCTCTCTTTTTATGAAACTCAAGACAACAACCCTTCCATTCCCCCTACGCACTCTGAGAGCCTTCTACCCCAGCTGGCTCCCAGAGTCCTAAGGTATCCCTACACCACTGGTTGGTGATTGCTCCCTCTACCCTCTTCTCTACTTAAGGGAAGTTGAATTTCAAGAATTAACAATGATAAAAGTGAAACCAAAAGACATAAGGAAACTATGGTACCTAGGGCTGAGGACAAGTACTCAAGAAAGATAAATTTGAAAGGGGTATGCACCCGGTTGGAGAAGGCTTGGGTTGCCTACCAGATAGCAGAGAAGTCTGAGTTGCTGGGCAAACAATAGAGAAGGGGGTACAGAAGAGCCAGGAGTCTCTGCTACAATGTGCTTTCTTTATGCTTCTATATGCTTCAAACTTTCTAAGTAAGAACTTTTTGATTAAAAATATAGATCATTTTTAAAATTCATGTGATTTCATAGTAGAGACTATAAAAAAGCAATATGGTTTCAGAGGAATAAGGTTCTAATGCTTAGAACTCAATTCTGACCTGTAAACTCCAATGATCTAGATGAGGAAGAAATAAGAGTGCACTCAAAGAACCCAAAACCCAATGAAATAAGGATACCAAAGGGCTGCGTTTTACAGAAAAGGACACAGAACAAAGGAAAGTATAAGAGGGCCACAGATGTGAAAGGGGAGATCAAGAAGCAGGCAGCACATGATACATTGAGGTTTAACCACAAAAGGAGTTTTTTAAATTGGGGGAGGAGGTATTTTTAATCCTCAATATTAAGACCTAGAAGGAAAGAAAAAGAAAGATAATACTATCACCTGGGACCTTGTGATAAGGGACCATGTAAGTGAAAGAAAACCAACAGTCTATTTTGATTGTGTTTTCTCTCTTCTTTATCAAAGAAAATGACCCTCAGGCTGTAAAGAATAAGGGAAACAGCGGTGAGAGGAAATTAAAGATAGGTGCAGTGGCAGAAAGCACCAATTTGCCTTGCAAGGGTTACAACTCTTCAGGGTTACAAATCTTTGGACCCAGATGAGAGACATCCCAGCATACTGAAAGCACTCTAGATTATGACCCCAAAGCCTTTATTATGGATCTTGGAGAAAATATGTTGGAGGAGATGACATAAGACTAAATATGAATACTTGCTGTCTTGAGTTTCATAAAAAGGAAAAATATGTATTCCAGATGCTATACTCTGTGAACTTGATGCCTACTCCCAGGATGAATTGTGACCATGAAGAAGAGGTGATAATTTAGGGGCCGTTAGTGGTTTACCAAGCCCATTTCATGCCAAATGGACCTCATCTCATGCTGTTGAAAGAATTAATTGATCATTAGACTAGAATTATAGCATAAACCATATAATTTGATTCTAACAAAGCAGCTGGCCCAGTATCAGTCATGACTCATTCAGATAGGAGTCAAGGCAGAAAGGCTGTTTATTAGCTTGTTTAATGGGAAGGACACTGAAGTGGCTCTCAGAGTCAAAAGATGAGCTGCAGAAACCAGGGTCTCAAGGGACCGGAAGCAGAATCCACTTCCCCAGGTCTTCTTTCCTTAGTGTGCTTCTCAGTGCTCGGCTCCATCCTGAGGTGACTTCACTTCCTGCTGTGGGGAGGACGGCCACTGGCAGCCCCATATTCATATTTTCCAGGCTTGGCAACCCCAGTGGAAAGAGAAAACTCCCTTTTCCTCATAGCAATCACACAGAGCAACTTGTACCTTTATTTTTTACATTTCTGTGCTGCTTCGACGTTTTTACATGTGCAGTTGACCCTTGAACAACATAAGTTTGAACTGCGTGGGTCCACTTATATGCAGTTTTTACAGTACCACAAATGTGTTTTCTCTTACGGTTTTCTTAATTAACATTTTCTTTTCTCTTACTTTATCATAAGAATACAGTATATAGTACTATAATAAACAAAATAAGTGTTAACTGACTTTATATTATCAGTAAGTCTTCTGGTCAACAGAAGACAATTAGTAGTTATGTTTTGTAGGAGTCAAAAGTTATATGCAGATTTTTTACTGCACTGGGGCTGGTGCCCCTAAGCCCCATGTTGTCCAACTGTATTACTTTCTAATAACAATTTTTTTTTTAATAAAGTCTTGGGGTGCCTGGGTGGCTCAGTCAGTTGAGCAACCGACTCTTGATTTCAGCTCAGTTCATGATCCCAGCATCACGGGATCGAGGCCCATGTTGGGCTCCACACTTAGCATGGAGCCTGCTTAAGAGTCTCTTCCTCGCCCCCTTCCATTTTTTTCTCTCTAAAAAATTTAAGTCAATAAATAAAGTCTTAAAAGTCAAATTTTTCAACACAAAGAGCTGCATGGACAGACTATGGTTCATTTAACTTTTCCCCTACTTTTGTATATTTAGTTTTCAGATCCTATTGTAAATAAAGCTGCACTTATCATTTTTGTACATAAATCTTGGTATATGCCTCGGATAACATTAGGATGGAGTCTTAGAAGTGGTATTCCTGGGCCAATGGCTTTAAAAATTTTCCAGGTCTCTTGATGCATGTCACTATATTGCTTTTATTTTTTTCAATGTTTGTTTATTTAGAGAGAGAGAGAAAGAATGCACACCCAACCCACAAAGTGGGGAGGGGCAGAATGAGAGGGAGAGAGAAAATCCTAAGAAGGCTCCCTGCTGTCAGCGCAGAGCCTGATGGAAGACTCAATCTCACGAACTGTAAGATCATCACCTGAGCCCAAATCAAGAGATGGAGCACCTGGGTGGCTCAGTTGGCTAAGCCAAGTCATGATCTCAGGGTTCATGGGTTCAAGCCCCATGTCAGGCTCTGTGCTGGCAGTCTGCTTGGGATTCTCTCCCTCTGCCCTTACCCCGCTTGTGCTCTCTCTCAAAATAAGTAAATAAACTTAAAAAAAAAAAAAAGACACTTAACTGACTGAGCCACCCAGGTGCCCCTATGTTGCTGTTTTGCTTTTAAGAAATAGGCCTAGGGGCGCCTGGGTGGCTTAGGCAGTTGAGCATCTGACTTTGGCTCAGGTCATAACTTGCAGTTCCTGAGCTGGAGTCCTGTGTAGGGCTCTGTGCTGACAGCTTGGAGCCTGGAGCTTGCTTCAGTTTCTGGGTCTCCCTCTCTCTCTCTGCCCCTCCCTGTTCATGCTCTCTCTTTCTCTCAAAAATAAACATTAAAATTTTTTTTTAGTAAGAGAAAGAAATACACTTAAATATCACATTTTTTTACATTGAGTATTATTTTTTTAAAAAGGCCCCTGAAAAAAATAAAATAAAATAAAATAAAATAAAATAAAATAAAATAAAATAA